AGAGGGAAATATAGAGAGAAGAGTGAGGGAAAGGAGAGAGAGAGAAAAAAAAAGTGGAGAGAGAGGGGGGAAAAGAGTGAGAAATAAAAAGAGAGAAATTAAAAGAAAGGGAAAGGGTGAGATAGAAAAATGAATGGAAAAAGGGAAAGAGAGAGAGAGAACGATTGAGAGAGATGGGAATAGGGTGAGAAAGAGAGAGTGAAAGAAAAAAATAAGGAGAGAGGAAGTAAAGATCGAGAGAGAGAAAGAAAGAGAGAGAGAGAAAGAAATAGAGATATATAGATAGAAAAGAGAGGGGGATAAATCATGAGAGAGAAAGACAGATTTACAAAAATGTAAGAAAGAAAATTTAATACAGATTTTGTTTTTCATTCCAGATTCTTTGCAGCTAAAAAAACACATTTACCAAAAGTGTTTAATTTGATGTTGACTTAAAAAAAAAATTAAATTCTTGGTGTTGCTATTTTGTTGCGATAAAAAAAAAAAAACAACGTCAATTTCCTGTTGGTTGTGAACTTAGCAGTTTGCTTTATTTTCATTTCTTATTTTTTTATGGGAAGAGATATATATATATATATATATATATATATATATATATATATATATATATATATATATATATATATATATATATATGAGTGCATATATAATTGTATCTATCTTCGAAGGTTAAGAGATCAAGACTCTGACCACAGCTGGTTACAATGACGATAAACCGACTTCGTCTTTCTGAAAAAAAAAAGACTCGTAATAAATTCTAATACCGGGACGATTGACAAGAAATGTACGGGGTGAGATGGATAAATTGTCGTCTAAATTACGCAAAAGAGAAAAGAAAAGTGACATCTCATTTCAACAGATATACTTACCAAAATTACACAAAAATATCTTCAAATACTAAAGAGTTCATTTGTTCAATAAAATCGTCATTGGCTTCAACCACGGCCTCCAGATGACTTTGGAATCTCTTGCATTCCTTCTGGGCGGTCTCCTTGTTTAAATGGTGGTTTTATTGAATAAAATTAAATAATAGTTAGCTAAATTTCACGGTGGAATAATAGATAGCGGCTTGGATTGAGGAATCGGAGAGCCGAGTTCGAATTCCAGTCGAATCCATTACATTCACTTACGTGCTAACACCCTTGGGAAAGGTGTGAATCCTCTTTCTTCTCCCTCCAGCTATGGGTAAATAGCAGGACAGACTGGGTTCTATAGCCTTGGATGGCAACTGGTCTAGGAGAAGGAAAACTCTGAATTCAAACCTGCTCTTAGAGGAGGGTGAATGAAGTTTCTCTGAGCCTTGGTTGGCAATCCATTTAGTGTTGGTGTCACGATAAAAACACCCTTGATAGCCCTAGTGAAGCATAAAGAATTCAGCTATTTGACAAGATTATGAACTACACCAATCAAAGTATTGGTGAGTTCATTCTCGGCTGAGGCCGCAAGATGATGATGCTTAAATGGCTAAATGCTGCCATAATTCTTGCCCTCAGTTCATCTTTGGTGTTCAAAGGAGTTTTTTTTTTTTGCTCAACTGCATCCATCACATAATAATCAAGCGGATTGAAGTCTGGAGAGTTAGGTGGCCAAATGAAGAGGTAATGTGGTCTCAGAAATTATCTGTTTTGGTACTTCTGCTTGTGTGGTTTGGTGTAGATTCCCGTTGCCTGATATAGGGTCTTCCGGGAGCCACACACTTGCCCCAGGGCATCACTACCTCCTCAAGGCACTTGATGTAGGCCTGAGTGTTGGGTGTGAGGCCCTATGGGAAGATGAATGGAGGTATAACGTTGCCATCAGTATTGATCACTCTAAACACCTTCTTAGTCACCAAAGGCATCAAACTTTTTTCGAATCCTCAGATTGATACCCAAACACTCTGAAATGTTCGGATTAGAGTGTCCGGTGCGAATGCCAAGCAGTACAGCATGCCATTTGTAAATGTCTGGCGGATTAAATTGCGTCGTGGTTACCCAACTGAACCTACTATACTAATCAGGCGACAAAGTCAAAAACAAACAACGTGCATGAGTGAAATTAAAAATATGATATGGCGACAATTTACCCATCGCATATTGTATGACTAAGAAGTGTGCCTATTTCAAAACCAGGTACGTACTAGAGCGGTACAGGAAACAGTCCATTTTCCCAACATCTTTAGCGATTGATCGTATGTACAAGTTCCACTTTAGGTCTGGACCGAGTTTAAGTCCAAAGAGGCGCTCAAGGCACCGTGCCTATCTGGTGGGACATCCGTTTATCACGATTGATGAAATTTCTGGGTCCGAAAGTTTTATTTATAAAGACACAAAACAAAAAGGTTTCTAATAAAAGCTCCAAAAAACGTATTGAACAATTAAAATGATACAGTACGATGACTATAATAAAATGGAGTTTAGTAAAAGAATTTCTATCTGATTTTCTGGAGTGAGGAGTTTTCATTGAGACAAGGGCGAGGATAATAGTCCGAATATAAATAGTGCAAATCAGAAATATTCGGTATTGCTGTAATTCTTAGTAACCTCAGCAGACGAGCGTTTTCTTTCCTTCATTTCTTTGCTTATTTGGTATTTCCGAATTACCAGCGTCACGACTCTTATAAATCATTTATTTTGGAGACGAGTGCGGACAAATTAAATAGAAGAAGCCTATTCCGCGGATATCTTAAATAGAAAAAAAAAACTATTCCGCAGATAAAAGCAAAACTAAAACTCTCCTTTCTCTGTCTCCCTGTCTGTCTGTTTCTCTCTACATATATATATATATATATATATATATATATATATATATATATATAGAGAGAGAGAGAGAGAGAAAACGAAAAGAATGAGAGAGAGAGAGAGGAGAAAAGTTCTACTTTTATCCGCGGAATAGGTTTCTTCTATTTAGGTTATCCATGGAATAGGCCGCGGAATATATATATATATATATATATATATATATATATATATACTACTGGCAGCATGGTCCGGCGTTACCCGTGCTTGATTCAAAACTCGTACGACTCATACAGCAATCGCATAAAAATATTTTTGCCCTTCCTTGCCTTTAAAGGAGTGCCCTTTGCCGTGCTGATGTTGCTACATGCCTTACTTCTTGCCTATCTCACACTGCGAATTTTTTCTAAGCTCTAGACTAAACATTAAATCTGTTACGAAAAAAAGAACTAAAAATGAACACAAAACGATCAGCTTTAAAAAAGGACTCGTAACTGGAAAAACCGAATGAAAAAAGAATGTTAACAACAAATACTTTTTCACACCCAACCCAATTCTGCGGAATCAGAATCAACGTTGAGTTTAAGCAAGCGAATGAGCAAATTTGAGTAAAGTGCCATGCAGATTTAAATTTTTCCCACTTGTGATGCATGCAGCTATCGAATTTTTTTGCATTCTAGCATGCTAGTTAACATTCATGTCAGTCAGCTGTTGGCTCTCACGCTAGCCAATAGAATCTTCCTGCCTATTCGTGGCAGCCAGCTATAGGCTCTCACTCTGGCCAGAAGAAAATGGCCGCAAACTACATGAAAACTGCCGTAGAAGCATGAGAAAAATCGATTATTTCCACTATCGATGGGAGTTGGGATATGCAACGTCGGTCTTGGCCTTCCCGCTAACTTGGAGCATGTGCATGTAGATTGTGGTGCAAATCCGTCGAAAATTGCGGCCGCGCATTCGTTACACACACACACACACATCCGGCCTTTTATGGATAGAGATATATGTAAGAAGCCTATTCCGCGGATAACTTAAATAGAAAAATACCTATTCCGCGAATAAAAGCAAAACTAAAACTCTCTCTCTCTCTATATCTATATATATATATATATATATATATATAGAGAGAGAGAGAGAGAGGGGGGGAGAGGGCGAAAGTTCTACTTTATCCGCGGAATAGGTTTCTTCTATTTAAGTTATCCGCGGAATAGGATTCTTATATATATATATATATATATATATATATATAGAGAGAGAGAGAGAGGGGGAGAGAGAGGGCGAAAGTTCTACTTAATCTGCGGAATAGGTTTCTTCTATTTAAGTTATCCATGGAATAGGATTCTTATATATATATATATATATATATATATATATATATATATATAGAGAGAGAGAGAGAGAGAGAGAGAGAGAGAGTGAGAAAGAGATAGAGAGAGATAGGAAAGAGAAATTATCTAAAGAATTATCTACGATCTGTGGTTAACTGGTGCAAGGAATGGCATGTTAATTTTAATACGTCCAAAGTGAAATTTTTCGTAAATATATCTGTTAAAACGAGATGTCAGTGTTATGTTCATTTTGCGGAATCTATGCATCGCACGCAGAGTACACACACACACACACATACATATATATATATATATATATATATATATATATATATATATATATATATATATATATATATATGCGATTGCCTTCGTGTTTTTTTTTCCTTAAAGTCTTCATGTGTTTTTTTGGTTGTTTTTTTTTTTTTTTTGTAATGTTGTTTTTGTTTTGTTTTGTTTGGGGGTAATTCCCAGGAGAATAATAATGCGTAATATATTTTTTCCATATTCCTCTTTTTCCGCACTTAACTGATTACGGTCATTCTTCGACCATTTAATTTACGACTCAGCAGTATTAATGATTTCGTCTTTCTTTTCTCGATTTGCCAAACGAAAATTACTTGCCCACATGTAGGCGGACCCACCCACTACCCAATTCTCGCACCATCATTCTTTCGAGGTTAAAAAGTAAAAGGCGAAAACACTGTTCAATTTACTCATAAGTAATTTTCTAACGGTGGGGGCTTGAGAATTCATAGTCCTTTTTTTCTTTTCTTTTTTTGTCTTTGAAAAGAAAGAAAATATAACAAAAAACCGGAACAATAAAAAAAATGGAAAAAGAATAAATCTGGAAGTCGGTTTTGCCTTTTATCGAGGAGTGGAAAATCCAGAATTTAGTTCCGGTAATATTTCTTTTTTCAAATCGTTTATTTTTTAGTACTTTTGGAAGGTTCACTTCACCGACATAGATAGATAGATAGATAGATAGATAGATAGATAGAACAGACTGAGATAGATAGATAGATAGATAGATAGATAGATAGATAGATAGATAGATAGATAGATAGATAGAACAGACTGAGATAGATAGATAGATAGATAGATAGATAGATAGATAGATAGATAGATAGATAGATAGATAGACAGACTGAGATAGATAGATAAACAGATAGAGGTATAAAAATAAATAAATTTTGTTACGTATATATGATAATAGGAACGCTATTAAAAAACAACCGCCCGTTTAAAACGCTACTTCAAATAAATTAAAGCACACACGCACACACAGGCAAGCACACACACGCACACACACACATTTATATATACATATATATTTAGTTTTTCCAGCATCCTTACGTTTTTCCGTTCTTTAGGAGTAAGGGCATACAAAAAATTCCATAATTTTCATTATCCTATTCAAAACAACACAAAAATAAAATACAACTTAAACAGTCAAATCATCAGGAAAAACTAACAACAGCAAAAATAAAATCTTTGAAAATGGCTAAAGAAGTGGCCAAAAGTTAACTTTAGACTTGAAAATCCTCTTGGGAATGTGTTCTACAGGGCAATGTTGATATTATTTGAACAAACATTTTTAAAGAAATAACCACGCATAGAATCAATCAGCAATATTAATGCTATTATTGGCGATGTCCCATCGCTAGTAGTGTATAATGTATGCATTAAAATACTGTTAATCCATAGAATGATGTGATCCTCATTTATAAAACTGTTGGCTGTTGTTTCCAGTTTATATTTTTTTTTAAATGCAAGTACTTTCGAATAATCCTTTATTTATACACAGGCATATTTTTTCCTTTTAAAATTAAAACTTGGAGACGAAATAATTGTTTGTCGACCGAAAATATATGCTGCCTAATGTTTATATATATATATATATATATATATATATATATATATATATATATATATATATATATATATATATATGAACGTTGAAGTCAACACTCAGAGGCGACAGGCTGTTTTATGCTAAACGCAATTGTCAGACCACCTGACAAATGCATCTTACATGAAACAGACTGTCGCCTCTGAATGTTTTCTTCCATGTTTACTTTTATATTTATATTTACATACGCTCTATCTCTGATATTGAACACTTTATCCCATAAATATAGCACACTTTAAAAATATATTTCTACATATATATATATATATATATATATATATATATATATATATATATATATATATATGCCTACGTTTGGGGTTCGACTTAAGTTTCGTTGATTGCCAACTCATCAGGCACGAAATATAACTTATGATTTTTTAAAAAAGTATTATTTTTTTTATGATTTAAAAATAATATTATTAAGTCGCACCCCAAACGTAGGTATATGTATATTTATTAACATATATTTCTTAGCTCTGTCTAACCACATCGAGTACTGTTATGTTTATTCCTTAAAGCAAATTTGGTAAATATTTATTTGCTTGCCTGTGTATGCACGCTAGCGTGCATATACGATTGCTAATATCTAGTTATTTGATTTACCTACTTCTATGCATATATATATATATATATATATATATATATATATATATATATAGAAGTAGGTAAATCAAATACCTAGATATTAGCAATCGTATACATATAAAGTAGGTAAATCAAATAACTAGATATTAGCAATCGTATATGCACGCTAGCGTGCATACATTATATTTTTTCGTATATATATGTTTATGTTCGAAATTCCAACCACCTGAAGAAGGCCGGAGCGTACAACGGCCTAAACGTTGTGACAAATATGGCGACAAAGGTGAGGACAATAGTCCGACTAATGTAAATACTATATATATATATATATATACGAAAAAATATAATTTTATGGTATGCTATACTTATGAGTAAAAGTGGTTAATATCAGTGATATGTAGATATAAAAATGGTGACTGAAGTCAACGCCGAGAAGTCACAGTCTGTTTCTGGTTACCTGAAAAGCTTTTCGAAACGAAACACCTGAGTCGGCTAATAAGATAAATTGAACTTTGAATGACTTATTTAATATTATTATAGCTGAGGTTATCTATTAAGAGTTCCCTGGTAGAAGTCCTGTTACCCAGAAAAATACGTAAAATTCAAGACATTTTCATGATGTTTTACTATTATTAAATGTATATTTATAAAATATAAAAATTATAAAAAAATATATGTCTAATAAGCATCTATCCCTCCATATATATATATATATATATATATATATATATATATATATATATATAAATTTGAAGCATTATTTTTTATTAGAAATTTTATTAAGAAAAGAAGCATTTTATGATTAAATTTTGCTCTCGTAAAAAATATCCTCCTTTAGTCTTGATTATTGAAGCACAAAGTTTTGATATTCGTTGCAAAAGTTTCTCAAAGAATAAATTTGATAATGAATTCTATTCTTTTTTCATCTAAGAGTTCTTTTCATTTTTTTCACTTTTTTGTCAAGTTCATCCCTGCTAATTCAGGGGATGACTTAAAATTTTTGAAATGTAGTATATATATATATATATATATATATATATATATATATATATATATATATATATATGAGATAACGATATATGTTGTTATATATCAAGAACAATATTGGGGGTAAATGTATGACAAAGTAGAAAAAGTTTTCTTGTGACTCGCTTCCTCCTCTAAAATCAAAACGATAAAACGCGTCACATGAACACATTTTTCACTAGCCCATATATTGGCCCATAGTCATCTACAGACAAACTGTTTCGTTGTATCACAGCTCCGTAGTGTGACTAGACGTTGGATTGCTTCAATCCGACTGATTTGACATCACTCAGATATCTTAACTCTAGGTCATTGTCTCACGCCAGAAGAGAAGGGAATTTGAACGTTTTCCTCTATACGAAATACGCCAACGGCTCGGAGAACTCAATTCATACTTGAAGAGTAAAGCTTAATAGATGTAGAAGAGCTGTGTAATATATATATATATATATATATATATATATATATATATATATATATATATATATATTGAGCTCTACCTGATTCTATACTCTTGTAAATATATATATTATATATATATATATATATATATATATTGACTACTAATATTATCTATCTATCTATCTATCTATCTATCTATCTATATATATATATATAGTAATTGAGAAGTAACTCTCTATTCTTAAATACTTATGCTTTATTTATTACCTATAATTTTTACAAGAAATGGATATGAGAGGTAAGCATTTAGCATGAAGTTTTATTAAAAATTCGATATGGCCACCAATTTTCTCTGCCAGCTTCTCGGGCCGCCCAGGAATCGTGTCAATTAATTTCACTGGGAAGACATAACTTCGTCCTTCAAGTTCTTCCAAAGGCTTGGTATGGTATAGTAAACTTTAAGTCTACTATAGACTGTAGACAGCTCCTCTAAGACATACTGGGAGATCATATGGACCTACCAGACAGTCACCTACAATTCCTGCTCACACATTAATCCTAAATTAATGTTGGTCTCTGGTTTGTATTGTACGATGGAGATCCGATCTGCACATAAATACTTGTTGTGTAAATTTGTTATTCAATCTCTTCCAAATGTTGCCTCATCCGTAAAGAATACTGAAGAGACAAACAAATCAAAATTGATGAAGGAATACTTTGATGAGAACCCCATAGAAAACTTATAGAGCATTATAAAGTACAGGCCTCAGAAAGCTTGACCAACATGCCCATAAAAACTTATAGAGTGGTTATAGATCAGGCTCTCGGGGCGGCCATTGAGCAACACTGCTCCTGCTTTTCATCAAAGTATTCCTTCATCAATTTTGATTTGTGACGGGGAACATTATACTGCATAAAAATGAGCTTGGTGGGGTCGATTTGCACCCTTTCAGCAGAAGGGAGCAGACAAGACTCTAAAATTGTTCTCTTGCACTGCTCGCTCCTGAGGGTCTTTTTTCAATAGGTTTTAAGAAACCAGTTCCATGAAAAGAAAAGCATCCCCAGAACATTATACTGAATGGATGCTTGACAGTACTTACTGCTAAATTCAAAAGAGCTTTCAAAGCTTCTTTTTCAGATTTTAGATCGCTTATCCTTTAAATTTAGCTCAACTTTCGTTTCATCGGAGAAGAGAACTTTTAGTAAAACAAATCAGGTGAGTCGCTTTTATTGAACAGCACTGTATATATATATATATATATATATATATATATATATATATATATATATAAAAAAATATTCGACCTCCGACAGGATATTTTCTATGAAAATTTCTCAGACATTCAGGGCGGTAAATGTTGTTTAATACTGTTTATTATAAACAAAGCATTTACTTAAATATTTGTATCTATAAAAAGAATGTATAAACATAAAAATGTCTTAAAATAATTGTTGGACTTTGTCCATTTCATAATGTGTGACGTCATTTGTTTACATTTTGGATACGCCATGAGCAGATATGAATGTACGTGAGAGAATCATGGAAGATTGTAATTTAAAGACAGTAGAATCGACCTTGCTAACCGAACGATTCTCTGTGGCCGAATCGGTTAAAAGGCACGTCAGGCTATATATATATATATATATATATATATATATATAATAATATAGAGGGAGAGAAATCGAAAATTGGAGGTTGCTATCCTTTTTTTAAAGATAATATATCTTCTTTCTCTTAGTTGAGAATGTGATACTGCGTTATTCTAATAACTCTAATTCTGGAATGGGTGCCTTGCTGGGGTGCTCAGACTATAGGGACTCTAATATTCTAATGGGGATCGTCTTTATTAAGTGCCTCATGCTTTTGGCAGTGACGGAACGCTGAATAGTAAATACCAATTAACATTCTCACTGGTTACCAACTGTTATCGCTTGTGAAAAAAAAACCTAAGCTAAACTTAGTAAACATTCATTAATTCAAGATGGATTTCGATTTGAGTGTTCCATACCTATGCTCTTGTGCCAGACTATGTTAATACTAATAATTACTTTGTTTGATTTTCGTTGAGTATAATTGTCTGGTGCTGTACAAAGCTCCGCTTAGCAAATGACATTAAGTACAAAACAGCATCTTAAACTCTTGCACATTCGTTCATGGCATCAACACCGGGTGTTATTCGTCATTTAAAGTGTCAAGGAAATACCTTGTCTTCGAGGAAGAAGAAAGAACAGAAATTAGTTACATGATTGGCAGATATCATGAAAAGACATTTGGAATAGAAGTTCTTTCTTTGCGTTGCACCGTCCACTGCTCTAACCACTGGACCAGGCCAGTAATTTTTTCTTCTTATTCTTCCTTTATTTCTTTTCACGATATATATATTTTTTTTTTCTTTTTCGCTAGAGTTGTTAACAGGATGTTCTGTAGAAAGCACCTTCAACTATTCTGATTAGCTTCCTTGTTAGCGGAAGTTTGAAAATGGCAAATACAGACAGTTTTGGTAATAATCGTTTTTTTCTTTACTCTTTTTCTTTTTTTTTACTTTTTGTTTTATTTTTATTTTCAGCCAAATTGTAGCTCATCAAAAACCGGCGGGCTGAATTCTGACGGCGTGGAATGGCAATTGATAAAACCAGATGGAACTATTAAAAAGTGATAGATTTTAAATGGACTCGAAAAGAAAGAGTGAAGGAAAGCAAGTTTCTGAAGGACGAACAACTCGATTAATTGAGGGTTGGATAAAAAAAAAAAAAGAAGAAGGAAAATGAAAGTATAAAAAAAAGACATACAGTATTTCCTTGTTTAGAAAGACGAAATCATTTTGAGGTTTTGTTTTATTATTATAGTAAAATAGTTTAGAAAACCTTACACTATTCCCTCATTTTGATCATTTTTATCATAAATATTATAACAATTCCAAACGCTAATTCCATCATATATATATATATATATATATATATATATATATATATATATATATATATATATGTATAGGTATGTATGCATGTATGTATGGATATATAGATGTGTATGTATTTATGTATATATATATATATATGTATGTATGTATATATATATATATATATATATATATATACATGTATGTAAAATATATATATATATATACATACACATACGTACATGCATATATATATCTATATATCTATATATATATATATATATATATATATATATATATATATATATATATATCTATCTATCTATCTATCTATATATATATATATATATATATATATATATATATATATATATGAAATTAGCGTTTGGAATTGTTATAATATTTATGATCAAAATGAGGGAATAGTGTATACATATATATATATATATATATATATATATATATACACTGTGCACCCGAATAATGTCACTGTAAACAAAACTGATCGGGTATGCCAATTCTCTGGCAATATTTGTCGCAGTTTGGCTGGCCTGAAGAGTCACCTGCGAATACATAGAATTTGAGGGGACTGGGAGGGGGGTGAGGACATGAAATAAAGGAGGTGGTCTCGCTCGTAACCGAGAGGACAGCCACGATCTATATATATATATATATATATATATATATATATATATATATATATATTATGTAAATCTTATATTTTTGTCACTTTGTATAATATTTATGCATTACACCTTAATCTTTATTCGGTAAAATTTTCCTTGCTAATCATGCATTACTTTTTAAGTAATACACATATTTATGTCTTTGTTGTTTCCGTTTCTTATATTATGGCCGCTACTGTATATTGTAATCAAAATAAAGAACAGTAAGATATATAATCTGGTGTTCTTATTGATTTTACAAAACTGTGCTCAATGTAAATTTACAGAGCATAAATATTACAAATATTATAATATTTCTTCATATATATATATATATATATATATATATATTATAATATATATATATATATATATATATATTATATATATTTTAATATATACATTATATATATATATTATAATTATATATATATTATATATATATATATTATATATATATATATTATAATATTTCTTCATACATATATATATATATATATATATATATATATATATATATACCTGATGAAAGTCGGCGGGCACAATGTTGCAATAACAACAACAAAGATGTCAACAGTATAAATAATGATAACTTCTCCAGAAATTCCGATAAAAATGTTACGAAGAATGCCTCTAACATAAACTATAACGAATCTTCTGTTGAGGAACTTAAGCTATATAAACAGTAAGGAATAATAAAGCATTACTTGACACTGAGGCTGAAATTTTGAAAATAGCTTACCTTCTCCCCGGATTCAATAACAAGTTTTCCAATTTCACGAAAAAACGTCTGGAATCAGAAATGCTTCCTCATTAACACGCTATAGTTGGGCACGTGGCCGAGTAGTTAGAACGTCTATTCTGGCCATGAGACCCGGGTACGATTCTCACCATGGTTGATTTGGAAGGTGACTTTTTGATTTTATCGGTATGAAGTCGATTCCAGCGTGCGCCCCACTTGATAAGTGCCTAAAAAACATACCACGTATTGACCCAAGCCTTTTGAGAGAAATAGGGTAGACGGAAGTGGCTGCGCTAGCACGAAGTCACAAGTCATTGTAGCCGAGGGTTTGAGTGTGGCGGCCTTGTTCAGACTGTTGATAACCCTAGATAACACGCATCTCTCCCAGACATTGTAACTCAGGTCTGCTCAGCATAGTTGCAGTATAAACCGCAGGTGGGAACTGTGAGTGTTGAAAAAACACAAATGCGCCTGAGCAAGCCACCCTAGTAAGCAGGTATCTTCGGATTCGAGTAGCTTCGCCATTTACGTGTAACAAACTATGGAAGACCAACACACATAGAGAGGTATTTTATTTAGCTCAATTCTTGCGAAAGTACTTGTTGTAACCTAGTGAAGGTTTCTGAATAGAATAATCCCATGAAGGTTGGTAATGAACGATAATACTTAGAACAAGAACAACTCATATAAGATTCGCCATAGGCGCGTAGAAGTAGTAGTCAACTGCTAGAAGCGAGTCAATTGAATTCCACAATGAATCTCCAACTGCAGGATATCTACCAACCGCCCTATGCGGTCAGATTTGGCACAAGGCCGCTATTTATTGTGGGGTATCCGAGCCCGTAGGCTCGGCTAAAAACTCCCCGTAGACCCTGTATAAAACAGGTTCAGGTAGCTGTTTTCCGAGACGAGACTCTGCCCTTCGACATAGCTTTGTCTGGGGATCCTCTCTGCTCAGAGGCAGAGAGTTTGACCAGCACAGCTGGAGACGAATCTCCAACTGCAGACTAACATACAGTATTTACTACTGTATTTATGTGAATGGGGACATACCCATTATCGTCCGTAGATATGCTACAACGGTACTAATGAAGCTTGTATTAATTAGGCTCTAATCATTTTATGAACGTCAACTGCTCACAACCCAGTTTGGTTTTCGTTCTTGTAAGTATATATGCCATCATCTAGCAAATTGCTGTTTCAATAGAAAATTGTATAGCTGCTACAACAACCTCTTAGCAGCAAATGACCACATGAATATAGACAACCGCCTTCTCATTGATTAGAAACCGCTACCAGGCTCTAACTCCACTGAATGCCCAGATCTGATAGGGGAACTATATCGGCCCACAAAATCATAGCTTACTAGTGAAGGTTCCAGTAAGGAAACATTTCAATCCTCATCAGAATTACAAAGAGGAAATGAAAGAGCCATTCTATTTAATATTCTCCTACATTATACTCTGTGCATATACAAACGTAGTTTTGGAGAGATGGGACGCTGTTCATTTAAATAGATCTGTTAGTAGATTGAAACGAATCTATTAATAGAAAAGAGCCTTCCTTCCTTGCTTTCCCTCCCGAGGCCATCGTACTGATAATGAGAGGTATTCATAGTTGAGATAAGCATGATCCTGAACAGAAAAATCAAAATCTCCTGCCGAGTTTTCTAAGAGACTCCACTCAAGATAAAGTTTTTCAAAACAGAAACTATGATCTGAAATCAGAATGAAAGCAGAGATAGGACCTATCCAGAAACAACCATGAAAGATTCCCATAGGATAACAGAAGTTAAGCAACGTCGTGCCCGGTGAGTAGCTAGATGGGTAACCGCTTGGAAATATCAAGTGGACGTGCTGGTGGGGTAATGGATAATGGCTCCAAATTGTTAATCGGAGAGCCGAGTTCTAGATCCAGTTGAGTTCTTATGTTCACTTCTTCACAAATACTCTTAGGGAAGGTATGAAGCCCCTCCACACACACACACACACACACACACACACACACACACACACACACACACATCTATTGTACATTATTTACATTATTCGGACTATTGTCCTCATCTTTGTCGCCATATTTATCACAACGTTTCGGCCACTGTGCCATGTGTCATGGCACAGTGGATAAAGATGTTGGTTAGATCCAGTGACAGGACCCAGAGAATGTGAGTTCAATACCCGGTTAAAGCAGTGGAGAACTTTCAGAGGGAAATTAGCAGGAGATAACTGATAACTGACATCCATCAAACATGGCACGTGGAACTAGAACAGTCTACCCCAGTGAGCGAAATAAAGGGTTCAGTTCGAAATTCCAACCACCTGAAGAAGGCCGGAGCGTACAACGGCCGAAACGTTGTGATAAATATGGCGACAAAGATGAGGACAATAGTCCGAATAATGTAAATAATGTACATAATACCTCATCTCAGAAATATAGACAGACACATTTATTTATTTGTATCACTAAATCATTATTATCTCAAAAAATGTTGTGGTCTTGTTAAGGTCAGAAACAAATTACCATAACACTATCTATCTATCTATCTATCTATCTATCTGTTGTGGCCTTGTTAGGGCCAAAAATAAAGACACAAGAGAGGAATTGAGTTAAACAAATATATTAACAGAAACAATAATGCAAATATATACAATCGAGAGTGTTACAACAAGAATGTTCGGTCTGTCAGAGCTGACTGCTGGAAAATTCCCTATCCAAAAGGCAGTACCTGCTCCTATTTATAGCCGGGAGAGTCCATGCATGCGTGGGAAAATTACCATAACAATAAAATTCTTTTTCATCTAAAAATATTTTTTATGGCTTTAAATAACCTGCTATAGATTGATAAACCGTAGAAAATGAATCATTCAAGCGATCCATCATGCAAAATTCTGAATGTGGAATGGAAAAATACCAAACACTTCAAATACCTCGGTGTATAGATCAGTTATAAA